AAACAAAAAAAAAAAGTGAATGGAGAGTGGCCAGGCACAGTGATTCATGCCCATAATCCTAGTACTCTGGGAGGCCGAGGCAGGCAGGCTGATGCCACAGCACGCTGGCCTGGACAACAGAGTAAGACTTTGTCTTGAAAAAAAAGTGACTGGAGGCTGAGGTTGGTGGATTGCTTGAGCTCAGGAGTTCAAGACCAGACTTAGCAAGATAAGTATCTCACCTATTAGTTTGCCAGGATAACCTATATAATAAGCAGGGTCCAGAGCTGGTGCCAGCAGCACGTCCAGGTCCAAGGATCTCCACTTGGCTATGAATTCTTGCTGATAGTCCTGAGGGATGGTGAAAGGTGAGAGAGAGGATCACTGGGGCTCACTGTCTGCCAGACAAGGTCAGGTGCTGCCAGGCAGAGCTGGGTTACACACCAGGAAGCACTCTCAGGCTCTGAGCTTCAGACTGAGATAGCTGGGGAGGGTCAGAGTCTTCCCAGGGACTTAGGTGAAAGGATAGGATGGAGGATCTCAGGCTGTAATGATTTGGGGACAATGCTCAGAGAGATGGACTAGATTAAGCCTCCCCATCCAGGTCCAGCTGGGCCTTTCCTGCAAGCCAGGCTCTGACCTCTATCTGGTCCTTCAGGTCACTACCCAGGTCTCCATGGCCCCAGCTCTAGCAGTCCCTCAAGTCTTCCCAGAAACACTTCACCTCCACTGCTGTGTGCTGCTCCCACAGTTTCTTGGGTGTCCTGGGGAAATGAGGAAGACTCTGAAGAGTTCAAAGGTCAACATGGAAGGGTCTCCTTTTATACAAATAGGAATGTGATGCTGATGGCCTCCATGCAAGGTTGCAAATCATCTGATGGTCTAGGACTGACCCTGAGTCTTTTTTTTTTTTTTTTTTTTGGACAGGACTTGGTTTGAATCTGCCACCTCCCACATATGGGGCCAGTGCCCTACTCCTTGAGCAACAGGCACTGCCTGACCCTGGCTAAGACACCTTGTCTGCCTAAGCTCCCCAAGAACACATCTCCTCTAATCAACCTCCCCACTTCACCATCCACAGGGATTCATGTGGCTCCCAAAAAGACCGCAGACTTCTTCTAATCTGTGAGGCACCTGGTTAGCCCTCAGGCCATTCGACCCAGTTACACAAAGTAATTCAACTGGCCAAGCCCAACAGCAAACCCAAACCCAAACCAGAATCTCCTCGAAACTTCATCCCTAACTCTAGCCCCACTCCAGTCCCCACCTTAATCCTACCCCTGGATCCAAGTCTATCTTTACCCAACTCAGACCAACTCCAAAACCAGCCAAAACTTAACCTCAGCTTCAGCCCCAACCTTTACCTCAACCTGACCCCAATTTTAGCCTTGACTCAGATCTTAACTCCAAATCAAATCCTAGCCCTTAACCAGCCCCCATCCCACCACCAATTAAAAGTTTCCATCTAGGCTCAGCACCCATGCTCAGCAGTTAGCGCCAGCCACAGACACTGAGACTGGCAGGTTTGAGCCCGACCTAGGCCAGCTAAAAGCAACAATGACAACTACAACCAAAAAATAGCTGGGTGCTGTGGTGGTCACCTGTAGTCCCAGCTATTTGGGAGGCTGAGGTAAGAGAATCGCTTAAGCCCAAGAGTTTGAGGTTGCTACCAAGGGTGACATAGTGAGACTGGCTCAAAAAAAAATCTGGGCAGTACCTGTGGCTCAGTGAGTAGGGTGCCAACCCCATATACTGAGGGTAGCGAGTTTGAACCCGGCCCCGGACAAACTGCAACAACAACAAAAAAAATAGCCAGGCGTTCTGGTGGGTGCCTGTAGTTCCAGTTACTCAGGAAGCTGAGGCAAGAGAATTGCCTAAGCCCAAGAGCTGGAGGTTGCTGTGGGCTGTGACGCTTCAGCACTCTACTGAGGGTGGCAAAGTAAAACTGTCTCTAAAAAAAAAAGCCTCGATCTAGCCCTAACATTAATCATGGTATTAAAATCTAACTAGATTCCAAAATCTAAATAGTCCTCCCTAGTCCACCTCTAGCCACATGCCTCTCACCCAGTTCCTACCACTGTATGGACAATCTTTGTGGGCCACAGCTGGACCTGAGGAGACTCACCCCACACCACGAAACTCTTCAGCAGTCTGGCTTGTTCGGGGATCCTAGAGGTGGGATGAGAGGGGAAGACCACCTTCGGAACCCACAGAGAAACAGCCAGCCTACCCAGGTCGGCAGTCCGGGATAGGCACCCCTGCTCAGCACACTGGCATGGAGCCCTGTGCTCCTCAACAAGCCCCCACCACTGCACTAAGCCCTGAGCTGCCTTTTATCTCCCCTGCTATAATCCCCTTCACCCTGCGGAGCCCCCTCTCTGGAGCCCCCTCTCCGGAGCCCCTCACACACAAGCTCCTATCTCTTTTAGCCCCAACTCCCTCTTTTACTCCTTCTTCTTCCTATTGAAACCCCATCTGACCCACCCCCGCCTTCTAGGAGCCCCCCACTCTGCCTGAGCCCCTCTCTCTCTCAGGACCACCCCCTGGCTGGACCCCCTCTCCTGCAGAGCCCCTCCCTGCATGCAGCCCACACTCACTGTACACTTCAGGATCTTGGCCAAGAAACACTTGAGAGAGTCTGGCAGGCGGAGCAAGCTGACCATCCCCTTTATGCTGGGGTCCACAATGTCCCCCTCTCTGAGGAGCCAGTTACATATTGAGTCTGTTACAGCCTTTCAGCCCTCACCTGCCCCCACAGCAGGAGCCACCCAACTTCCCCTCCACAGACAAAAGGAAGGTCAGACCCAAAGAAACATTTGTGCTTCAGCCCCAACCCTGGGATGTGGGCATCCTAAAGATGGGGCCTGAGTGGGTGACTTGCTGCATAAGGTCACCTTGTTAGCCAGGTCCTCTCCAGGACTCAGGTTGGCTCCATCCCCCCACCCCAATCCCATTTCAAGTCCTGACAGATGACATACAGCTTCTGCAGCAGGGTGGCCCCTCCGTCCGCATACAGACCCCCGGTGTACAGGTGTTTGAAGGCATACTCTACACGGGGGATGGAGAAGGGGATGACCTGGAGAGAGAGAGGCGAAGACAGAGGCTGAAGCTCCTCTTCATGCCCCACGTTTTAAAGGGTGATGCCACACTACCCCACTCATCTTCATCCACCTCGACTCCTCAGCATGGCATGGGAGGCCTGTGTGGCCTGACTCTCTCTTGCCACAACCACTCTCTCACCCCTAGATAGCAGATGCGACAGAATTAGAGCAGCCCTCACTTCCTGCATGCTTCACTGGATCCAGTCAGTGTGCCAAGTGCTTGGCCTGTGGAACCCACTGAGGGGAGAAGGCACAAACCTTGAAGCCTTCTTTAAAGGATGGGGCTCACCCTGTCCCTACCTCCACTTCATCAATCTTCTCCAGGAAGCTCAGGGAAAACCCAATTGTATAAGCAGCCCAAACTTAGTCGTAGCCCTCTCCCTGAGCCCCTCTCCTTCATTGCCTGGGATGGCCCAGCCTAGCATGCTCATACCAGTCCAACCTCTCTCCTCACTAGGGCTAGGTGAGCCTACCTGGTGTCCTGCATCTTGGAGAAGTCTGGAGGTGAGTTGCACAGCCCTGGCCATGCTAGGGGATGGCTGTGTATAGCCGTCGGACTCACAGTAGCCAACTCGAAGGGGCCGCTTGCTGGAGTATACCTAGGGTCACAAGGGGCTCAGAGGGAAGACTGGGCTGGGGACAAGATGGCCTCACTCTCTCTAGGAGCCAGATTTATAAGGCAGGGCCTGGGCCATAACTGTCCTCACCTGAGGGGAATCCACATGGACTCCCCAAGAGTCCCTCTCCAGGCCTTAAGTGCTCTGGAGAAACCCTGGAAGAATTAGAAATGAATGGAGATGGATGGAGTAGATACATAGATAGATGTGACAGATTCATGAATGGGTAAGTGGATGCATGTATGAAACAGTAGGAGTGTGAGCAAAGGGTTGAATGTCTAAGTGGGTAGATGAATGAATGAATGGTGGGAGTTAAATGGGTGGGTGAGTAAGGAGATGAATAGACACCAATATCTTTTAAGCTAAAGAACTGTTAGAAAAGGATGAAGATGGAAAGATCAATGGGGGCAAATAAAGGTGGCACACAATAACCTCAGGTTCATAGTGAATGCTAGGATGGTGCAAGGGATAAGATGGACAGACTGTGGTGTGGCAGACAGACACTCTGCCCTATGGAGAGGGTTCTGGAGTCAGAGAGGGCAGGGCTCAAGGCCAGCCTTGCCAATTACTAACTGTGTGATCATGTCATCGAGTCATTTCACTTCCCCTCAGTTTCCTCATCTGGAGATGAGAATAGCAGTGCTCATCCTTCAGAGTGAGTGTTAGGATGAAACACAAAGAGCCTGGTTCACAGTACCAACATGTTGTTGAATGAATTACTAAATAAATAAAGGGGCTC